GTCTAGCCTAGGACTTGAGGAGAGGGAAAATGTTTTTGAACTAGAAGAGCTCACATAGAGTCTCTTGAGAGTGATGCTTAGCTAGGCCACTGGTTTTGGGTGAGAGTGATGCTTGGTTAGGCTACTGGTTTAGGTGAGTCTCCTCTAAGTCCTTAGCTAGTGTTGTAGCGGGTATGAGTTCGAGGGTTATTCCCTTAACCAAGTACTGAGGAAGGTGCATGGTTCCTTGTAGATAATCGGTGGGCGAACTCCATAAGTGACTTGGTAATGCATGCTAAGGTCGTGGTAAGTCTATACCCAGTTGTGCTATATCTGACGTTGGAACTGGACTTCCAAGTGTGTAAGTGACATCATCCGAGTAAATTCAAGTGGGGATTTATATCCCGGTTTACTGTGACTGAGCGGGCGCATTAGGCGTGAAAATGGTTGGGGTAATTTTGGTAGGATGAGATGTCACTTATACTACTCTATTGTTAAGGAGATCTCCTAGGTGAATGCGTGACGACGCATTAGATGATTGATATGCATTGATATCTGTCATGAGTTGCATTTATTACATAAGTAGCATATGATAGATTGTATGGTGTGACTTTGCGAGAATGATTGGTGATTTGATGATGGTGTAGTAGAGATGTTTATTCTTATGCTTACATGATTGATTATTGAACTCTAGCTTACCCTTTTGTTTCCATGTGGATGGACTGCGATGATCATACTGTGTATGGGAGCAGGTCAATGTTAGGTTGGAGCTAGTTATTGTGACCACTGCAGGGTGTGGAGTTTTGTCCTAGTGTTAGAGTTACTATCTTGGGTAACTATTTGATTGTACTTGATCGACACTAGGAGAGTATTATTATTTTGGATGATTGTATATATATAGTATTATATTTTATACATAGAAACGTATTTTTTTATTATTTTTATATACATGTATGTATTTAGTTATCCAATTTAATATCTTCTCTTAGTTCACTAGTGTAATTAGTGCAATTTCATTGAGTGTAGGAACCACAGCGGGTCATTACAAAATATATTAAAATAAGAACCATTACAAATAATACTCACCTAATCCATTACTGCATCACTGGTATGGAAAGGAGGTCATCACCATAATGAAATTATGTTGGCATATAAAGAAAGGGATAAGCACGTCCCTACCAACAACCTTAGAAAGCATGGTTATCTTACATCATGCTTCTCACGATCAACTATTGCTAAAACCAATTGATGGATAAAAGAAAGCTCAAAAGGTATTACATGTGTAGCAGCAACAACTTTCCCCTTTCCAAAAATCAACCTAAACATCAACGCAAATAATTAAGTTAGTAAAACACAATTAATTAAGGACACCATTAGAATGTAGTAAATTGAAACATTAATTACCTTAAGCATGTGGACCGTAGTTAGCCTGCTCGACCATAAAATGAAGGTACTCAAGGTCTGCCCTATTGTTTGAAACTCTATAATGGGCACATGGATTCGAAAGTCGTGTTCTCTAATTCGAAAACCTTCACTCATACCATATCATCTAGAATCGCTTAGTGGTGAATGATTGACTCCAACATATACACCTTACTTATGGCTACCAACTGCTCTGGGTTGTCATCAATGTACAATTTCCCTTGTGATAGTGTCACGTCAACTGCATCCTCCTTTAATGCATCAAGGACAACACAACTCCCCTTCGTGTTGATAAGATGAGAAAAGGGAGAAAGAGAAGAAGGAAAAGGAGGAGAATGTTTGATGGAAACCCTACGGAGAGAGGAAACCTCTGAACTCACCTTCAATAGTGAAGAACTCTCTTCAAATGGTGTCACTTCAAGGAAGAAGATAAACCACTTCAAATCTCACCACACTCTTGGGAAAACAATAAGAGAATTGGAATTAAACAAATAGAGTTTAGGCTTTAGAGAAAGAGAATTTTAAGAGAAAAAATCTCAACCAAACTCAAATATATATGCTCAAAAGTTCCTATAAAATGGGGTCAAAACTATAATATATCGAATTTAGATGGCTTATGGTGCAAGCTAAACTAACCATGGTTAAGTGTAACCATTGTTAGCTATCTTGTGCTTAAGATAACTAACTCTAGTTAAATGTCTACAAGTCTAGTTAGTTGTCTAGAAATTTATGGAACAAGCTAAGTTAATCCTAGTTTAAGAATACCCTAGGTTATCTTAAGTTAACTCCAACTATTTAACCTAATCATTACAACTACTAGACTAATGATTACTTTTAACAAATTTGTTGAGATGTCACTATCAAGCCATGTGACTTAATTTGTAGCTTGGATGATAAGCTTGGCATAGTTTGGACATCGAAACCTCTTGCATGAGCAAGTGGACATCTAAAACTATGGGCCATAAAAAGATTTAGGCCATCCAAGGCTTTGAGCTGAGAATCAAGATTGAGAGTGTCATACGATGAACTCCTAAGGACCCTTTGTTCTTCCTTCCATTTTCTTATTTCTAAGCTATTTGAGGTAAGAGAAGTTTGTAGCTTGATAATCATTTTTCGGTGATTGTTGATTTATGTTTGAATTTGCTTATTTGGGGTTGTTTTGATTGAAATCAAGCATAGGGCACCTTCTTGTATGTTTTGCTTCTTTGAAGGTATTTTGAGGGAAGTTGATGATTTTTGAATATTGTGGTTTCATGTTGCCCTTTTTGCAAAAATCGGCATTGCGCCAAATGCAACTTCATGGCCCTAAGCATGATGCAAGTTAGGGACTCTCTACTTCATTGATGTCGAACACGAGCTAGGTAGCGTCAAACATAAGTGAGTCAAGGGCTCTTTAACTTGGTTACTTCGGATGTGGGAGAAGAGACTCTAGGCATTATTACCCTAGGAGCTCTTTGCTTTGGTGATGTTGGGCATAAGATTGCTAGCACTAGATTGAGCAAGTTAGAGGTTCTTTACCTTGACAACACCGGACACGAGTTGAGTAACACTGGACGTGGGTTAAGTGGAGGCTCTTAGCTTGAATGACGCTAGGTGCAAGTTTAGTAGTGTCGGACATGGTTTACATAAAGACTTTCTATCTCATTCTCGCTAGACGTAGGTGGTTTGGCTTCAGGCGTGAGTGAGCTAGAGACTCTCTACCTCACTAACACCAAACGTAGGGTGAATGGTGTTGGATGTGTTTATGCTGAATTAAAACTTATGATTTGTTACTTAAATGTTGAAAGCTTATTATATGAACTGGTTCTTTACAGGATGTGTAATGATGTTAGATTCTAGTTCACTGATTATTAATCTCGAATGATGTATGATGATAATTTAAGTTGTTTAAAGTTGAGTCTCTTGTTGCTTGGAATTGTAAGTTATTAAGTTGTATTATAAATATGAAACATGTTTTTAAGTTGAAGTTGCATAAAAATTAGAGGAGATAAAATTTGTTTTTGAAAACTTAAATATCCTATTGTATGAATATAAATTGTAGTGTTAAGAGAGATCAAAATTGAAAACCCTTCGGTGAATAATCCATACAAATTTCTATATATAAATTTCTCATACAATTTTATAAATATATTTAGTTTATTTAAATTTAAACACTATACTCTATTTGAATACTCCTAATTTTTTTAGTGCATAAGTAATTAATTATGTTTATTTTAATATAAAAATTTAAATTTATAAATAAATATATTCTAAATATACATTAAAATGAAAATACACAAAAAAATGACGAGAATGAGTGAGAGACGATATTGATTATACAATAAAAATAAAATTTAGGATTGAGCGGGAGTTATGAAAAGAGGAGAAAGAGTGAGTGGTTTGAAATTTTATTAATTTTTAGGTTAAATACCTCTTTTCGTCCCTGATAACAATTTTTTGTTTTAATTTAGTCCCACTTTAATTTTAGGTCTCAATTTGGTCCCCAATAATTTAAATCATTGCAATTTGGGACTTCCGTCCAAATGATTTAAACGGGGTTAACTCCTGCTGACGTGGATGTCAGGTGGATGCCACGTAGATGCATAGGTGGATGCCAAATGTCATGAATACATCTAGAACCAGAACGGGCCGTTCTGAATGCATATGTGATGTGTTAATTTTGCAAATGGAACGGGCCGTTCCAAATGCAAATTTAACACAACATGAGTGCAGCAGAACGGGCCGTTCTGAAACCAGAACAGGCAGTTCTGATGTTAGAACGGGCCGTTTTGAATTCAGAACGGCCCGTTCCAGAACGCCAACTTCATGCTTTTATTGTATTTTTTTTAATTATATCTATATTAATAAAAATATAATAAATAAAAAAAACAATAAATTAATATTCATTTATGAATAAAACTAAAAAAAAGAATCAAATAAGATAAGACCTTCTAAAATCCTTCTTTGATTTGAACTTATTCAGTTCAAAATCTTGACTAAAATGTCGCAATGTGATTCAAAATTTGAAAATAAAAATTTATAATATATCATGAATTCAAAGACAGAAACATGGTTCAGAAATTGAAAACAAAAATTTAGAACATAACATATACTAAAAAAGTTCAAAGAAATTATTTCACTCTAGTTTGACTAACAATGAAATAAAACTTGTTACCATTGTCCTTAGTGATACACTGCATCATCCTTAATGATACGCTGTATAACCCAAATGTTTAGCAATTGAAGTTATCAATCCCCATTAACAATATTACCAAATCTAGTGTTTGAAATGCTTTGTACAGTGATTTTTTTTGCACGAAATTTTGGAACCAGAACGACCCGTTCTGGTTACACTAATGGTGTGTAATTTTGTACCTGGAACGGGCCGTTCTAGTTCAAGGTGTCTTCAAGTATTTTGGGATCCACTTACGTGACATCCACGTGGCCACCAGTTAACTCCGTTTAAATCATTTAGACGAAAATCCCAAATTGCAATGATTTAAATTATTGGGGACCAAATTGAGACCTAAAATTAAAGTGAGACTAAATTGAAACAAAAAATTGTTATTAGGGTGAAAAGAGGTATTTAACCTAATTTTTAACAACAAAAGGAAAAATGAAAAGTGGGGAAAAACGCACAGTACAGTCCCTTGGTATTGATTTCTGATTCCGTTTGGGTGAGAATGGCGGGCGGCAATGGCAACAGTAACACCATCCCCGTGGCCCCTAAATCTCTCGTATCAATGCTAATTCCTATTCTCTCCTTTCTTCTTCTTCTTCTTCTCCTTCTTCACTCTCACTGAATAAATTCTTCTCTTGTAGATTTTCTTACAAGAATGGTGGCTTGTGAAGCAGCGCAAGGGTTTAGCCGTGGGCGGGGTTGCTTCCGTGAAGTAAGTTCTTTTTCAATTTAATTTGGAGGAGTGATTGCAATCGTTCAATTACAATTGGTGCGCATGGCATTCGCAGGAGAGATAGAGAAAGTTTGTTTTTGTCTACACTGATTGCTGAGAGAGAAGAGGCCAATGTCCTCCACACCCAGGATGGCATCACTCTTATTTTCCGCGGTTGCATCAACACCTCCCGTTCATCGCAAAACGGTGTCCCTGCCGAGGTACTCTTTTTAATATATAATCATTTTTATGTCTTTCACTCAACAATCATTTCATCAAAATCTGCAATGCTTACATGCCCAATCACAAGGATTTGCAATATCTTAACTAAATATCCAATGTATTTAGGTTAGAAACCACGAGGATCGGCCTAGTAGTGAGGGTTGGGATAGTATGTACAGGATCTTAAGTGACTAGGGTTGGGATAGTATGCATAGAGTCTTAAGTTTGTCCCATAATAAACCCATTGGTTGATGATATTTTCTTCTCGGTCAGTTCTTCCACAAGCCGAGCTCGAACAAGAAAGAGATAAGAGGGCCCTAAGAAAAATGTAGTAAGAATTCTATAATAGAGTTCTTCCGCTACTATGGAATTAATTATCTTCATGTATAAGAATATTAGATCTATCCTGTATAGATCATGCATAGGAAACTTGGTGTCATCATTGTAATTCTGATAGGTAAAAAAAATGTATTTAGGTTACTTTCTTGATATAGATATAAAATTGAAATTCAGGTATGTCAACACTTCTTGGTTGGATTCCCACACGATTGGAAAAAGTATTCAGTTCATATGGATGAGGTTTATGCATTTGGTGACTCAAGTGCTTGTTCAAAGAAGAGGGATGGTGATGCTTTGCCATTTTCTACTCGTGATGATGATTTCACCGAGAGACACAATTCTATTTCTTTTGGAAATGATTCCAATCAATCTGAATCAACTGATAACCACAATACAGCAGTGTTCCAGCTGCAGGTTGACATGTGCAATGGTGAAAAAGGAATATCACACATTGCTGTTGAAAGCCAGGCTGAACATTCAAAAAATGGCCAATCCTTGATGGGTATGTATGATTCTAACACATGTATAGGCCCTTCTGGTACAAAGAAAATGAAAAGAGGCCGGTTCTCGGGTGAGCGCAAGGAGAACTCCTGTAGTAGGATGGTGACGAGAAGCATTTCCAAAAAATATCGCACAATGTCCGAGCAAGATGAGAAAGCTACAGTAGCAAGTGGTATTTCTCCCGTTAGAAGATCTCCAATGCCAAATATTTATAGATAATGATCTGTCACACTAAAGTAGTGGTGGATAGTGATACTTGTGAAAGGAGGTTTTCTATTTTTTGGTTGAAATAAGAAATATGTATTCTTAATGTAAAGGTATTTGCGATTGATAACACATTTACTGATGTTTTAAATTTTATAGCTCAGTATTAAATTTAAGGTTTAGGGTTTGTGGTGCCAGATTGTTTTTCAATTTTGCTAGAGCTTATCATTACTGTTATGGCAGGGGAGACTTCTCATTTGTTATCATATTTTTATTGCTCTCATTTCTCAAGTGTTCTGTTTTGTAGGATAGTTGATTTTACTTTTTACAGTGGTTGCTGAACAAAAGCTTTTGCTTTTGTGGCCTATTATCTGGAGGAGATAGTGGTCCATTGTACACTATTAGTTGAACATTTGCTTGATGCTTGTTTTCTTCATATTTAGCAGATTTATGCCGGTTGGATTAGAATATGTAGCAGTCATTAAACATGGAAGTATTCATTGATATCAGAGGTATATGCTGGTTGGATTGGAAATGTTTTTGTACTTTCCCTCCCTCTCCCACTAGATTTGCTTCAAAACAAAGAACATTCCCTATTCAGTACTGTATGTTTTTCTTTTCATTTCTAGTTATCTTTCTCCTTCATTTTTACCATGTAAGCCACCGGTGAAAGAGAAATATTTTTTTTATGGGTGTCATTGGGGTACTTTTTAGGTGTCTAGAAAATATTTTCGCTTAATTTTTTTCTTTTGGCCGCGACCCTGAACACCATGGGAATGGTTTTGATTTGGAAAGCCATAGATAATCCAAAGGCTTAAGTTTATTGTGACAATAGATTTTAAATATTTCGGTTGATTGATTTGTATGGACCGCTGGATGGTTGGAGGGAGAGGATGCTAAAGCCTGCATTGGATTGGAGCATGGTTGCAAGCAAAGTGTTAAGTTTTTTAAGGTGAAAGTGGAAGAGAGAAGGTAGACCACAAATGAAACATTGTGATATGGTCTGTTTACAGTTCAATATTCATTCTGTTCTTCCATGGCTCCCACAGCTGCTCCACTCCAGCTTCTAATATCCAATCTCATGTTTGGAAATCACTCTCATCCACAAGCAACGTTTTTGAAGACAGCAACCACTAATAGTAACAACACTCATTGCACTGGTTTAAAGTTCCCGCCTTTCGCAGACCCCAGAGATCACCCCCTGGAGTACACATCAGAATCAATTGGGACACAGAAGATCAAGGTTGAATTGGAAGTAAGGAATAAGGATACCAATATGTCAAAGTTAAGTTGGAATTTGAATATATTGGTAGAACTTGTTCTATAAAATTAAAACTTAAAACTGATCCATAATTATCCAATTTTTTTATAGGTTTGACTTGATTTTTTTAAAATTTTAATTTATTAATTTATTTAAAAATTTATTTTATATTAATGATATTAAATAGATCGATAAACTTAATTTTAAATAAATCAACAAATCTATTTTTAAATATATTTGAGAGTATTTTTCTTTAATTTCCATAATAAAAAAAAAATTATTGTGTTATTATTAAAATTTTGAGTTTAAAATAAATAAAAATCTAATGTAAAAAGGATAATTTATGCTTCATGTATACTAATGTACACTCATACATAGACTATGATAAAGGAAGATAATCTTATTAAAAAGAAAACTTTTTAAATATTTCTTATATCTCATTTGAAATATTATAAATCATTAATTATGAAGATGAATAAAAAGAGTAGATGAAGAGTAATTGCTAAAATTTTTATTTTTGATTTTGTACGAACATGGTGTAAAACGTTTAAGTGTAGTGAAAATATAAAAAATATTGATAATTTAATTATGTATTACAAATTTATTTATCTAATTATATGGTTAAAAATGATATATATATATATATATATTATTTTTATTATATCATATAGAAAAATAAAATAGCTTATCACTTTTTTTTATAAATCTAAATTCTACCTTTTTAAGTAAATAAGTATTTTTTTAAAAAGTTTAATCCTAATAATTTTTATTAAATAAATATGTTTTTAAAAGTCAAAACCTCAATTTATTGTACTCAACTGTCAATAAAGTTGTCTTGTGTCCAAATGATGGTAGTTTTTTTTTTTTTAATTTATTTATTTTTATTTATTTATTTTAAATATAATTATCATACCAATTACAAATGGATTGGGATCTCCATTTTCCATTTTACAATTTCTTCCCAAGCTGCCACAGGTTTCTAAACAGTCGGAGACAGACCAGCCAAATCCATAAAAAAAACTGCAAAAAATAAAAAATGTTCATAATTCATTGCTATATAACTTTTGCCATTGATTTTGCCAAAACATTTATACCAAATCGTCATGGAACAGTGTGACAACCTTTGGTGTTTTGGTCTTCTCCCGGGCTTCACCAGAAATTACTGAACAGTCTTCCCTTGCAAGTTGATACGTCCCTAGTAAATTTCTTACAATTGTTAAACTAGTAAAATTTTTCCTATTAGTGGGTAATATTCTATTATAATTATGTTTGTTTATTTGAATAGGTAATGTCCTACAATGTACTTGCTTTTAGGTAATTTACACGTCTAATGATGATGGATGCACATGTTTTTTTGACAACATATATAAATATAATGTATGATTGTCATTTTTCATGTATTTGTCTTATATATAAATGAAAAATATGCAAGACATTATGATTATTCAACAAATACATGATTACTCTATTCTCTCACTTTCCTCTTCTAAGTTTTATGATTTCGCTATGCATTGTATGTTCTAACAGTGGTATCTAGAGCATTGTCCTTATAGGTCGATCATGAGTTAGAAAAAAAATTGAGAGGAGAAATTAAACATTTGCAAGTGATAAAATGACTCTAGGGAACAATAGTCTATTTGTTGGTTCCTCAATTTTCTAGGGAAAATTATCACATATGTATTGTCAAAATAAGATTATGTTTGAAGTCTTTTACCTCATGGGAGTATATAGATCAAGATAAGCAAGTTCCAACATTGAGGAGTAATCCTACCATAACTCAAATGAAACAACATAAAGAGAAAAATTTGAAGGAGAAAGTTGTTTCATGTCGACATCCAACTTTGACAAATGATGTTTTTACAATCATTATGCATCTGGAAACAACAAAATAAATATGGAATGAGTTGAACGAAAGGTATGCAAGTGATGAAAGAGTGAGGTCTATCAAGCTATTGACTCTTAAAAGAGAGTTTGAAATGTTGAAAATGAATTAGTCAAGAAGTACACTTTAAAGTTGTCTCACTTGGTGAACCAAAAGAGGTTGTATGGTGAGGTTGTCCAAGACCACAAGGTAGTCGAAAAAATGTCAATTAATTTACCTGTAAAATTTGAAACCAAAGTTGTCATTAAAGAGTCATGTGATCTTCAAAAACTAACCATTTCCGAAATGGTTAGTAAATTACAAGTTCATGAGCAAAAATTCTCCATGAAAATGAATGATGTAATTAATGGTACATTTCAAGCAAGACATAAGGAGGAACAACTTGGTAAAAAAATTAAAAAAAACAATTATAAAGCATGTGGTGAAAAAAAAAAGGAAAAAGTAAGATGGATGAGAGTAGTGAATCTGTAGCAAACAACAATTTTCCTCCTATACTTCATGAAAAAGAACAAACAACTTGTCAAAAGATTGTTGATATAAGTGTGAGCCTTAAACCCAATGTAACAATTGTAAAAAGTGGAGACATAGAGAGGGGTACCATAACATGCACATCAAGTTAACTTCACTAATGAGCAACTTCAAGGTGAAGAACACTTGTTTATGGCTAGTCAAACAAGTAGTTAGGGTTCAAAGGATTTATGGTATGTTGGTAATGGGTGCACAAACCACATGATGAGGGAGTCAAGTCTCTTTACTTCTTTGGATAGGGCTATCCAAACCAAAGTTAAGCTTGGAAATATTGTACAAGTTAAACAGAGACGTACAATTTTTGTTCACACTAGCAATGACCCTAAATTTATTCATGATGTTTTATTTATTATTGATTTGGATCAGAATTCGCTAAGTGTTGCTCAATTAATGAAGACAAAATATTTTTTCATTTAAAAACCATATTGGATTCAAATGATTATGAAGTTATTAAGGTTGAAATGTGTGATAATAGCTTTCCAATAAATTTGAATCAAGTGAATGAATTCGCTCTTGTTTTCAAACAAAATGATTTTGTTTTATGTCATAAAAGATATGGTCACTTTAATGTGGGTGCATTAAAATTTTTGCAAGCTCATGATATGGCAAGGGACATGTCTATGATGAATATTATTGATGATTTATGTATGTTTGTTAATTGGAAAAAATGTACAAAAAATCCTTTTCATCAGGAATTGTCACATAGGAAAAAGTAAAATCGAAACTTATTTACATTGACATGTGTGGTTTGGTGAGTTCTCTTTCTCTTAGTCAAAACTAGTATATGTTTTATTTTGTTTATCGATGATTTGACAAGAATGCCAAGAGTGTATTTTTATCAAGCAATTAAAAAATGTATAACTCTCAAAGAAACGAATTCAAGAAAATTAAAAAATGATAAAGTTTAATGTCAACAAAGATATATTTAAGTGAAAAATTAAGAATATCAACCTTTTGGAGGTGAGTTAAGATGACACATTACTCACCATAACTTTACTAGGGTTTATACTTCTCTAGAAATATAATTTTTTAAAATTAAAATAAAAGTAATTTTTTAAAGTTAAAATTAGCTTATGCATAAATTAAAAATAAGATTTTGAAGAAATTAATATAAAAGAACTTCTACAAATTAACTTATAATGAACTACTTTTAATTCATAAAAAAAAACTATTTCATTTTTCCTCTTAAAAATATTTATAAAAAATTTACCTGAATAATAAAAAAAAATTACATTATAATTTTTTTCAGATGAGAGAAAGCGTTCAGTCACGTATATTTGCTATGTCAGATTTTTCAATTATATGTCTGCTCCACTATACTCTATAAGAATAAGGTATCAAAATCAACTTGGATTAACATAAAATTTTGTATATATAATTTAAGAGTAAAAAAGTATCAATCAAACGGTAAATTTTGAAGAAATTACATTTAATTGAAAGTTATTCAATGGTATAATAATTAATAAAAGCTATACCGATATGGTTTGAACCCTTATATATATATATAAGGAAGGATTCGTTTACTTTAATTCCGTTTAATAATTCATATTTTACATCAAATATCAATGATCCAATCATTAAATTCAAAGTTCTTAAAGCACAGATCAAATCTGTAAATTTTAAAAAAAATTTGAAAATCATTTGCAAATTTGATTTATGCATTAAAGAGTTTGAGTTAATGAAACGAAATATCAAATAATTTTCAAAATTTTTAAAAAATTTACATATTTGATCCGTGCTTTAAGAACTTTGAATTCAATGGTTAGATCGTTGACATTTGATATATAATATGAGTTATTGAATGAAGTAAATTTAAGTAGACTTATTCTTAGAGTAAACAAATTCCTCCACACACGTTATGTAATAATATATAGTTATTTTTATAAAATACTTTACAATTTTGATATATTAATTTTATTTTCACCCTTTGTCCTATTAAAAATAGTAAAAATGTGTATTTTCTGTTACCGGATAATGAGAAGAGAACTTTAGAAATAAATACTCTATCTTTCACCCCTTAGAATCTCCGATTGAGAAAGATGACTACTAAAAGTTGGCTAAGTGATCTTGGTTTTTCACTTTATATCATAAAATTACCGAGCTTTCTAATGCTACCTGCAGCATTTGCCTATAATATAACAAAATGAAATTATGAATCGAGTATCATTACAAATTAGATTCCAAAGCCAATATTTCTGGCTCTATTTCTGGCTCATCCCTAAAATGGTCACAAATTGAAACACTGTACATGAACTGCATAGGTAGGCCAAAAAAGGCTTCTTTTTTGTGATCTGAATATGCCCTCTTTGAGGTTACAAATGAAGTGTAATGCCAAAATAAAATATAAGAGGTTATATCACCAATCCAGAAAGTGGCAACACACCTTCCTACATACATCCTGCCACATCAAAAGAAGACTAAACAATATGACAAAAAAGGGGAAAAAAGAAGAGATTTCATAATCATTGCTTGAGCAACTGAAACATGTAGCTAAAAACTGTTTCAAAGCTCAAACGTTTGATTGACAAACCTAAGGTGAAATCCTTGAGGTTCGTCATCTGTGTATAAAGGATTTTACCAAACAGGCTAATAGCAGAGTATGAGAAATATTTACACTATTGATTCAGGCAGAGAGCCTTCACACCATCTGTCTAAGAACCACATCAAGTATCCCAATAGAAATTTTTGGTTGGTAATGTTCATCTGTATCCACTTCTTCAATTTCCTGCCATAGGATTGTGAAACTATTAATATTAACTTTAATCATTAAACCCAGTGTTGATTTAGGACAGACTTTGCGAGCATTAAAAACTATACCTTTTCAGAAACAATAACAAAAATCATATACAAATTAAATTATATTCACATGACTTGCCATGTTTTCATTCCAATCCAGATGTTATGTTACTGTCATAAACTGATTTATCCATACAGATTTCAAAATTATTAGTATGGTGTCTAACTTCTATAATCATTGTTTCTTATATTATTTCAGTTTCAAATAAATGCATGCAAAGTGATGAATCAACTAATAACAGTATTAAACAGAAAAATTAACCATATATATCATGTTTATAAATTATTAAAAATGATAAGCGCTATGTGAAAAAAATGTGGAAAATACCTTCACTAATAGGAGTTGAAAAGGACATCATAAGTAACAATAGAGAAGGAAAAGCAAAAACTCAACATACAATAACAGGAATAAAGAAAATTCAGTCACCTGAACAACATCCTCTCCCTTGATGACTCGGCCAAAGACAATAAGCTTTTCATTTAGATCTGGTATTGGTGCAGTCGTGATGAAAAGATCAAATCCTTTGTTAAAGTATTTTCCCTTCGAAGTTCCAAGCATGAATGCTTCATGTCTCATACTAGTTAATGATAATCATCAAAATATTTAGTAATTAGAAAAAATTCTGCAACTTACATGCAGATACTCTATGATCTAAGGATATTATCATAAACATCAAATTGCAAAAAACAATAGAACAAGAAAACCTTGCATATTTCTTTCCTAACAAGTTCCAATCTTCAGTAGCTCCAGGTCCTCTGTTATGACCTGCCTGAATGACATAGTGCTTAATTACTTGGTGAAAAAGCATCCCCTTGAAGTGCCCTTTTTGACTGAAAAGAAAATGGTACTTTAGTTTGGAAGCATGAGAAGGTTATATTCATAGGAATGTATTATACAGCAAAGCACTTTTAAATGACTACTAACAGAAACTGAAGCCAATAAAAGTTAGAGTAATATACACCCATAGGGCTGCACTCTCTTTAGCCAATAGAGAACATGTTATTTCAGGCTTGGGGTTATAGCATCAAACTCAGTTTTCAACCCTGTTGCATGGTTCTGCAGTACTTCCCACATATTCACTGATAAGAAAGTCTACTTGCATACACTGTTAGTGGACAAATATTTGACAGAACATCACTAGCCCTGTAAAAAGGACCTTAATAATAAACTTCACCTTGAAAAATATATCATTCCTTCTTATGCACTCAAGTGATGAAAGAGGAATTCATATTTGCCCCTCTAGAAAAAAGCAACAGTAAAACCATTGGGTCCTAGAGCTTTTTCCACAGTAATGTTATATGTACAACAACTTTTACAACATTACTTTTGTATCTATTTCTTTCCATCACTTCATTTACTATAGAGAGATACTATTAATGATGGAGAGAGATATACACAAAAGTAGTATTGTATAAGTTGTTGTACATGTAACATTACTCTTTTCCGCATCAATACTCCAGATAGCTCTCTGGACTTCCTGCTGTTCAAAGGCCCTTTATAGCCATATTCTTATCCCAAAAGAGGTCATGAGTACAAACCACAAGAAACTTTATATGGTTTTTCCTTCATCTAACCAAATGAACCTACAATTTTGTCTCCTATAAAGCACCGACTCTGACACGGATATTGAACACGACTAATGTCTAAAAAGTAGGACATCGGGACACTACATATATATATGTTTTATACTTTTATATGATAATGATCCTTAGAAGATGAACCAAATCTCTTAAAAGTTAAAACAACGATTAATTCTAATAAAAATGAGCCTCACAACATTTAAAAAAAATGTTATGAGCCTTGCAATAATTATAAATAAGTTAGCTTTTTTATATTAGTAGGAGTATTAGATAAATCTTTAACTAAGAGAAGGGGTCGATTCACTCTTTGTCTCGTTTCCAAGTCAGGTTGGAGGGGTTGATTCCCCCCTCTTGTCTCGTGTCCAAGTCGTGTTGGAAAGGTTTTAATAAGGTTGTGCCGAAGAGATGTCTGAACTAATAAAATAATAATTTTTAATTGTGACATAGTGGAGAAGTGTCAAATGTGTGTCAAGACGTGTTTGACAAGTATTGTGTCAAATACACCGATACAATGCTTTGTAGATGTGTTGGTGCTTCATAGTCTGCCTCTAATTGGTTTCCACTTTGAGTAGTACCTCTTTATAATCAATCCTAAACCTTGACCTTATCCCTTTCTATCAAAGAAAGAGGCCTGCCAGATTCTTGTTTAACTAAAGAATTAATCTCACCTGTTCTACCTCTGGTCTCAAAATTTCAAAAAATATTTTGATTCCTGACCTTTAAGTTTAACCTTCCCTTATATAACTGCAATTTTGTCATAAAGCCTGGACCCTTCCACTGCACCATTCTAGAACCTTGCCACACTTCCTTAATTAATTAAGAGGAGGGATGACTAATAACATGTTCTCAAAGAGGAATAGAGGTGTTAGAGACCAAAGAATGGGATATTCATATTAAAAAAGAGTGGAAAGGTCCCATGCACAAACATTTCCTTGAAGTTTTAGTGACTAAATATCTGTCTAATCAAGGGACAACAGTATGCTTTTCAGTAGCTGACAAAGTATAATGGGATAGGCATTGGGGTATCAGTAGGTTCCTTATAGGACAATCTCAAAATATGGTCTCCAAAACTAATTGCATTTAGAATTTATCCTGAGATACCACCTTCCAGTTTTTCATTAAGGAATCTCAACATTGAAATTAATCCTCAACACACTGACAAGAACCACAAAATTCAAACATAAGACAAAACTGAAGTGCAAATTAGGTCTAGTGAAACTGTAGACTAAAATGAACCACCATTGTCCTCTTCTTTTCATTTCAAGCAAGAACAAGACCAAGAAAATCTCATCAAGCAACTTTTGAAGCCACTCCAACACACTAGCATGTAGCATCTATTAGATGCCCTAGAAGACAAGATGCATCCCAGTCCTTGAAACTAAAATCTATAAACATCTATGATCTAACTAAGAAACCATTTACTATTAGGACTTAAGCACATGAGAAGAGCCCAACCCAAAAGACTAGTCCATTAGGTGGGAAAGCCTTAAGGCTTAAGTACCATATTGAGCTTCATATTCTATTCAATGTAGGACTACTAACATTGTCGCTCTTTTTAAGGGTCGACGTCCACAGTAGCTTTCACTCCATCAACATTGACTAGATGGTAACCTTTTTCTCTTTGATGGCTTCACTCACCTATCAGTATTCAGTTTGCATCTTAATCCAACCTATAGGTAACCCTTCCGTAGTCCAACTCTCAATGAAAACACCAATTGTTAGGACTTAAGCACATAAGGAAGGCCTAACCCAAAAGACTAGTCCATTAGGTGGGAGAGTCTCAAGGTTTACGTACACCACATTGAGCTTCATATTCTACTTAATGTGGGACTCCTAACATTCACCTCCTCCAATTTAGTCTTATAGGCTTAACTATATTTGGAATACTCTAATTACCAAAAAGCATCATATTCTTCATCCTTTTTCCTTTAATGTTTCCCAACTCAAATCACAAAAAAATAAATAAATGAATGAATGAATGACAGAAAAAAGAGTTTGTGACAAGCAAACCAAGCACTCACCATAAATCTATGAATTCATCAACAACCTCAGGAGCACTTTCCTTATAAAGTTCTACTATAATAGAACCTTTGGAGGTAATTACAACCTATAGGATAAGGAAGAAATGAGAAGCCATTTTGTAAGTTAAAATTTCATATAATAATTTCAATTAACAAGCATCGAGAACAACGTTGAAAAAAAATCTAACATGATTATAAAATGAGCAAAGTAAAGAAATTACGACAGCATGGTGAACCAAAAACTTACAGCATATTCAGGTAGATCAGATTTTTTGGATTCCACAATTGTATTTTCATCCTGCAGAAGAAGTATTTATAAATCATTAGATTACTCAAGGATCTAATAATAATAATAGTAATAATAATAGAAATAGTAATAGTAATAGTAATTCTATTCACTAATGAGGAGAAGAATGACTTGACTTTCCCGAAACCTTATCTCAATGGAAAAATAAAAACACACTCATAAAATACATGTTTGAATTATAAAATAAAAGAAACACATGGCAAGATACCAGATTACAAGTAAATGTAAAATGGATAATGAAATATGAAAACCCTTTACAACGTATATTAAGTCCGTACCTCATAGACTGATATGTACCTTTCGGGTTGAAGTGTTGTCCTGAATGCAGCAGGTAATATAATGAATTATTAGATAGCAGAAGATGCTCTTTTGAAGCCCAATTTATGTGAGAAAATGGGACACATACAGTTAACAGTTAATCTCATTGCTTACTATAATCACCTTCTCAGAAATCATATTACAGATGATTGTCCCATTTAAATTCATTAATTGAAGAGTTTAAATCATTCAACAAATGCAATAGAAAAATGGAAAAGCTTTGGTAGTGCTAGGCAAACTAATATTTCCTTCTGCTCAAGACACAACATAAAGTAATAAACTCAAGTTCCATCAGCATAAGGTTCAAATAATTCACTACATATTACACAATATGTGGAGAATTCAATCAAGAGAGCCGATACCAAATGGCCAATAATAAAATAAACCCAGATGTAATAGCAACCCAAAAATCTTCCCAATTGTGCTGAACAAGTACTAATTATTTATTTCTTTTAGTTTGCTTTGCTCAGGAAACCAAAAAAATTATTGCTTAATTTGTCACGCTACAAATCTACCTTCCTATCATAACAAAATATCTTTTACCAACCTTTTGGACCAATGTCTGTATGTAGCAAACAGGAAATACACAAGTACGACAAAAATCAATATATAGAATATAGCAGTGCTGGCACTTATGTGTGAAGGCCCCTTCTTCCTCTTGCTTTGCTGTAGCAGAGCTTGAGGCTTGATCCTCCCCATTTAGCCTAATCATCAATTTCCAGTCAACAAATCAAAATCAAGACTTAACCAATCAGCCAAAAGAAAATTAATACAATAGCAAAGAAACCAATCAATTTATTCAATATCAAAATCACCCAATTCTTATTCTTAACTTATAAACATTCGAGAGTTTAATTTATATGTATTATCAGTGTAAAAGAAAATCATACCGTCAACCAATTAGGTATGACCTTTAAGTTTTGAGATAAATTTTGTAAAAATCCACAAATTTACAATGCATGACAAGTTTTGATAGAATAACAGTATAAAAATGAAATCCTATATATTACGGGTGCATAAACCAAAACTATTTACTCGATCACCAAATCCCATGACTTAAAGTTTGAATTTTGAAACTTCGAACATGATTAAAATTAAAAGGCTCGAGAATTCCTAGGTAAGAGGAATTCCTCCGACCCAAAAGAAACTTCCTCTCAAACTAATGCATAGACAGTTGCAACAACTAAGATTTTGGTCTCAAACTAAAATGTGGCATAAGCCATAAGCCATAACCCTTCTCCTATTACTTCTATAGTTTGAAAAAAAGAAACAGAAAACGTGAAAATGCAAATATAGAACGACCTGAATGAAGTAGCAGGAAATTGAAGTAGCGAGAAAACACAGGAGAGAGAATGAAACGAAGAGTGCGTTGGATTTGTAAGGAGGGGGAATTGAAGGATGAGAGAAGCACATCAATGAGAAGGTGTGCTTATTTTCAATGAAGAGACAGGAACCAAGTTTGAAAGATAAATGCGCTCTTCTATATCAAATTGAAAACACAAAGCTACCGTTTTGTTTTGCCGTGTCGTTTTAACTTTCTGTTTCTTTTTTCTAAGCACTCACCTCGCACTGTTAGTTTTCAAATGATGATGATGTGTGATCGTCTTTACCCATTTTTTTTAATCAGTCAGAAACCTTGTTAATTTACGGATTAGATTCTCATATTGAATTATATGGTTTAATATAATTTATTATGATTTAATTTTTTTTAATATAGTAACATACTCATTTCATTTCCTTGAAAAACTATTCATCAATAATAAATGATCAAAATAATGGAGACTAGCATAAGAATTAGACACTATCTAAATAATGAGCGACTAGATTTCCTTGGCTCCTAAGAACATCTGCGATGGAAATTGCTTATAAGTAATTCCTGTGTCACATTACTGTCACATCAGTTCTGGCCCACTTTATGGGTTGTTTAAATTTTAGCAAAATTGCTTGTGATGTGGCAGTGATGTGGCACAGAGCAACTCCCATTGCAGATGCTTTAACAAAACATACATTAAAGTTTGGCCTAGTATTTAATAGTTCCTTACACTAGGATATAACACTACCAAACTTTGTAAGATCTCGGATTTTGCTTCTATACTAGTAACTACTCTCTTACAATCAACTTCAACAGCGATGGTATCGATTTCTTGCTCCACCAGCCAAATGAGAGCTTCATGCAGCGCTAGTGTCTCCCCCTTCACGCACTTGAGGAAGATAGTGTTTCCAAATTCCAATGACTACAAGCAATGACGAGAGACTTCCATGCTCATCGTGAACAAACATGCCCATACCGAATCACGTTTGGTCTTATCAACGTTGCATCTTAGACTAGAACTTGTAGGAGGATACCATTTTTCCACATGATGCCTTCTGGCTTCCTGCAGACTAGCCTTATATTGGTAGGATTAAGTCGAGGACTTATCAGATTTCTCTCGAGGACTATCTCCATGCATATATTCCAAAAATATGGTAAAATTGTTTACGTTAGTGGGAGGTAATTAGATGATAGTTGAGTTTGCCATCTAGGTCTAGACTCAATAATGATATAGTATAAATAATGGTATTTTAAGGTAAAAAGACACTTTTAGATCCAATCTATTACAACATTTATTACATTATTCTAATTGAGATGGATAACTTATTTAAACATTGAAGTGACTTTTGTATGTACATTCCTTTTTTTTCTCAGGCAAGTTAGACCGAAGGCTCAATTCTCCTCCTAGATCAGTAAGACTAAAGGCATCCTAATGAAAACTAGCAAATCGAAGATTCAAGAAATGAAGATTAGAGGTTCGTTTGGACAAACAACTTATTTAAGATCTTATTTAATAAGCTCTTATGTAATAAGAACTTATGTTATGATTACTTAAAATTTAATAAGTTGTTATATTTAGATATACATGTTAACAAACACTTATACAATTTTACGATGTTTGGATGCATGATTATTTAAGCTCTTATAGGATGTTATTTCATTTTAAAAAAATGAAATAATTACAAATTCAATTTTGTTTGGTTGGTAAAGAGGGGACCGGATGTCAAACACTCCCTTAGTGATCATTGAAGAACCAAAGGCCGCTCTTCAATTATTATTAGTTGTGGGTGTGTTAAGAACTCCTGATCCTCACTAGTAGAGTTAAATTGTTTTGTTTAGGATTCTTTTAGTTTGATCTTTCTTTATTTTCTTTATTTACATTTGTCACCCAAAAAAAATTAAAAAGGCTTAAAAATATTTTTAGTCACTACAAAATTAGCTAGTTTAAATTCTAGTTCTTGTTAAAATAATTCTCTCTTTTTCATCCCTCTAACAATTGAAACTATTATTTTTAATCCCTATTTTTTATACGATCATTTTTAACCATTTTTTTGTTTATTAAAAAAATTAAGTGAATATCCTAGGTGTTACTTACGATTGTTAGTAATATTATGTTAGTGTTTGACGTACACTTCTAAAAATTTGTTTAAATCCTTAAAATAATTGTTATTCATATACATTAATAACCATTAAGGACAAATAACAACTTTAAATTTTAGAAGGATGAAAATTAAAGAAAAATATTTTATAGGATCAAATAAAAATTTATTTAGTTAGGGCCAAGTTGACCAAGTTTAAGGAAGAATATTTAAAGTTTTTCTTAAGACATGAACTTCATAGGTTCATATCTCAAGGAAAATTAGAGAGAAGTTAGAGAGATAGGCTCTAAAGTCATGGAATCTTTTACTTCTTCTAATTCTGTGCAAGGACCTTCTAGATCCTTCCTGTAGTTGATTAGAGTTGAGAGATTGGAGATTCTAGACTTAGAGGTTGAGAATCTTAGGTGGAGAGAATCGTATGACGACCTTGAAGACTTTCAATTTTTCTTTCCCTTCTCTTCATTTCCGAGTGATTTTAGGTAAAGGAAATTTGTTGATTGAATATAGTGAATGTGAACTATTGATTTACATATGGATTCCTCATTTTTGTCATTAAAATTGGTTAGAATTCATGAGATGAGAATATAGGTTTAAATGTTGTTCTTAAAGGTTTCTTTTGAAAAGGAAATTGATGATTTTTAATTTGTAGTGATTGTATGTTACATGTCTCGATATAAATGAGTTGTATATGTTGTCTATTGGTTGAAAATAGGATTGCATGTTGGATGTTCTGAGTTTCTTGTAGGTTTTGAGCCAAATTAAAGATTTTGCTATGTGCAAAAATCTTCATCTTGGCGGGTGTGCCTTCATTGCACCGAGTGTGGCTCAAGTCAGGGGCTCTCTTGCCTTGACTATGCTAGGGGCAAGATTTGTAGTGTTGAGCATAATTGTTCAAGAAGTTCTTTGACTTGGTGATGCTAGTCATAGGATTGGTGGCACTAGGCATGATCAAGTTAATAACTTTTTTCTTGGATGACATTGGGCGCAAGTTTTGTTACATTAGGCGTGGTTCAAGTAGAGGTTCTATGCCTGAATGAGGTCAGACATAGGTTTAGCTATGCAAGGCATGATTAACACAGGGACTTTTTGCCTCATCCACGTCGGGCAGGTGGATTGGTGTAGGAGCGGGTGATACAGAGGCTCTATACTTCAATGACACCAAGCATCGGGAGAATGGTGTTGAGCGTGGTATGCTGAATGAAAACTTGTTTATTTAACTAAGTGTTGAGAATATGTGAAGTATGTTGATGACTTACACGATATATGATGCTGTATGATTCTAGTTTATTATGCATTAATCTATAATGATGTTTAAGTTGCTTAAGCTATAAGTAGCCTATCAATGAAAGTTGACTAAGTTATAAGTTGCAAGTTGATTAAAGATGTTAAGTTGTATAGACATGCAGTGATGAGATGCATGTTTAAGTTGAGATACATAAAAACTAGAGGGTAGTAAAGTTGTTTCAAAAATTAAAATATCCATTTGTGTGTGATATAAGTTGTGATGCTTAGAGAAACCAAAGTTGAAAACCCTTTAGTGAGTAAGTTGTCTCCTAAATGGGAAGTTCTTTATAAGTTGTCTCATCTAGGTTATATAGAATCATATAAGGGAAAGGTCAAGCCATACATGTTAGAAGTGATCAAATTGAGTACGGTACGAAGTTAAAGGATAAAATCCTTAACTGATTATTATAAATATGTGTAGCATTTTGAGGGTAGTCAATAAGTGGATTTCATAGAAGGCTTAGTTATGCATGCTAAGGTTGTGGTAGACTTACACCCAAGCTGTTTTACCTTGACAATAGTACTAGACTTCCCTAGTTTAAGTAGTGAAACCTAGGAAATTAATTTAATTTGTTAAATAGGTTCTTGAGTGGTCTGAAGTTGTATCCACTTGACATGGATAAGATAGGTCAAACATAGTGATTCGGTAGGATCGAGCCATTTAAACTGTCCACCTTAGTTGTAGGAGATCTCCAAAGTTGATTTTTGCATGACGGTGTATTAGTTGTTTAAGTAGTGAATAAAGTTATTTATATTGAGAATGTTGTTCATGTTGTATGTTGTATTTGATGTTGAAAGTTGTGATTAATGTTGTAAGTTGAGGTTATGTTTTAAGTTAGAAACTAACCTATTGTTTTAAGTTTAATTTAATTGATGAAGTTGTTATTTTCCTAACATTGTTATTATGTTGATTCTTTCACAAGCTTACACTTTATTTTCCTTTTTGTTGGATTACAATGATCATATAGGGTATAAGAGAATGGCAAGTTAGCTTGGATGGCTTG